GAGCTGTTATTATTGAAGTGTGACTATCACTTTTCATTTTTATATAAAGAAGGACTTGTAATTTGCACCAAAAATAAAAAGATGTAATATTTTTTTGGGAGATCCAGTGATTGGGACATTTAAGAAATTAAGTTATGAAAGGAAACTTGGTTGGTACTTCTCACTACTAACAAGTCTTGTTGACAAATATTTTCAGATCAGAGTTTCAAATAAAGTAAATTGAAGACGTCATATAAAAGGTGTTTTTCCTCTAAGGGAACATTGACTACCTCTGTCTTGTCTGCATGCCAAATGTTTGCAAAGTGTGTGGATGATCCACAAGTATTGGAACTCTTACAAAAATGTTTTGTAAGAATAAAAACAGCAAAACAAATTACAGCAATTAGTCATGAAAATAGAGCAAAAAACTGAAAATAAAAAGCAGCAACAACAATCATGAAAAAAAAAAGATTAATTAGGTGTTGAATTTGTTTGTCTAAGGCATGAAATTTCTACTAAAAGTATTGTCAACAAAAAGTCTCTGACAGCGTTTGAGGCAACTGAGCTTGACTGTTCCAAGGTTTTCTAACAAAGGCAACCAGTAATGTAGGTTAGGGAAGTAAGATGACAATGTAATTATTGTTAATTATTGTGGAAGTTGGCAATTTCCATTTAACATAACTGACAGCTGGTTCATGAGAAAATCCATATTAATGTAAAGATTTACTAAAACTTAGTTTGAGTAATAAATTTCATGATCTTTAAGTTATAAACATGTACATGTATGTATATCTCTTGGTAAGTTTTGTATAGCATACCTTTTATTGAGCCAACGTTTTAAGCCTCTGAAATTACTCTTTTTCTTAAAACCTTCACATTCAAGGTATTGAGAATTTCTTAGAATTTATGTGGACCTCAGGGTATTAAAATTGCCTCAAATTCAATTCCCAGAAATTCCCAAGAGTTCCATACTTCTTAAATTATAGGTAGTTTGTAAAGCTGAGAATTCCTAGGGATTCCAAGTCCTCACAAAACTGGAGTCTTCCTTTCCCAGAAATTCCCAGTAATTCCAAGCTTTTTAAATCAGAGTTAATTTGCATAGTTGGGAATTTTTGAGAATTCCTAGGAATTCCTAGGAATTTTTAGGAATTCCTAGGAATTCCCAGAAATTCCCAGAAAACTGGGAATTTGGTTTGCAAGGGTCATTTGCATAATTGGGAATTTTTGAGAATTCCTAGGAATTCCTAGGAATTCCCAGAAAACTGGGAATTCAGTTCGCAAGGGTGGTTCCCTGAAGGACTGTTGTTGGTAGAAGTAACTCAAGTTCTAACAATACCAATGTGTTACAGTATAATCTAACAAACAGAAAGAATGCTATACTCCTTTAGACTTCACTACTTTATTAAACAACTTTTATTATTTTTGATGCAGAGCAAGTCCAACAGGAAATACAGTAATTATCCTCAATAAACTTACTTAAGCCCACAACATTCTATGTCTTGCCTCACCGCTGACACAAACTCACAGTTTTCTCCAAAGTTCCTTGAATTAAACAATCTTCACGGTAGCCCTCTCACTCTGCGTATAGCTTTCCAAGCAGTCATTCACTTCTGACAACAACAACTACTACTACACAACTGAGTCCTTATAGACATTTACAAAGTATTCTAGAACATTCCAGAAACTTGTACAACAAGACTATCTCAGTGGACTGGTATTACATCATGACTGCATGACCTAATGAAATGTTCTGTTATGTTCCATGGAATGCTTCTCAGCATGACAAAACATTCTTACCAGAAAATGTCTAGATACTTATTTCTACAGTCACTATCCATAACAAGTGGAAGTCATAAAGTCATAATCATTTGACACAATTGGTGACTTCCACCAAGGTTGTCAAATCATCAATCTTTACTGCCAACAGCAGTCCTTTCCAGGCCTACTCTAACCCAGACAATCAGACAACACAATCAAATATTATTACTGCAAGTTGTCAAACCATTGCTATTTAGAAATAATTGATTGCAGAAGCTGTGGTTTAAACTGTACATCAACTTGATATTAACAAAGTCTTTGTTTCAGAGATATTATCAGAACTCTCTTCAACCTATGGAAGTTTGACACCTCTTGAACTTTTAGTAAATTTCAATCCACAACACATGTTGAGACAGGGCAAAAATCACTATTTGTATAATCACTCAAAACCCATGGGAAATTGGCTTTGAACTGTTTCAATATGTATCAAAATCCATTAGTGAAAAATTTTTTTTTTGGTCTTGTCAGAATTCCTATCAACCTCCAGAAGTTTGATATCACTTAAACTTCAAGTAAATTTTGATCCATAACACACTGAGGAAAAAAAACTGCAGTAAAGATTTCAACTAGAAACCACAGGGCAAAATCATTATTTGTATAATCATGCAAAACCCATGGAAATTAAACTTTGAACTGTTAAAACAAACATCAAAGTCAATTAGTGAAAGATTTTTTTTCCTCTAGTCATGAGCATGGCACTAAAAAAAAATTTAGAATCCTTGTGAGGAATAGAATCTCAGACCTTCAGATTCACCACTTTGATGATCTACTACTGAGTCACAGAGACTTTGCTGTGAGCTCAATTGTTACAAGGTCCACATGTGAGATGCATCCAGCAAAGTAGGATTGCTAGAGTTGAAAGCATTTCTAAAGGCAAATCAAAGTCCATTATTCTCACCTCATGCATTTGACTGATCCTTCCAGTATAAAACAAAAGTCTCTCTGTGAGTGTGGTTTTTCCAGAGTCAATATGGGCAGATATACCAATATTTCTGATTTTTGACACATCCTTCTGTCAAAAAAAGGAGACAATGTTACATGTATGCCCAATGTACACAGCCATGCCCAATTCACAAATTGAAAGTGGTTTAGCATGATCTGTACTCTTATCGACAATGATATTCATTATCACAGAGGTCAAAATTTGCTACAGACTCATGCGGCCCAGCCAGGTGAATCAGCAAAAACTTTTGAGCAATGTGATGATGAACATCATTGTATAGAGACCATGCTAAACCCCTGTCAATTCCTTTTTTACCACAATAATGATGTCAAACAAAATGATTCTTTCAGTGATAAAGGCATTGCATGACCAGTTGATGCAAGCAGCGTTGCTCATGCTCTTATCAACAACAGCAAATTGGCCAATCAAATTGCAACATTACTGCTGATCATAGAAAAGAAATGTTTCGAAAATACGCAAGGCATCTAGTAATAAAAAATTCCCCAATTTCAAGGGCCTGTATTCATGAATGAACACTAAGGAAAAAAATTTAAGTTTTCGCTAATTAATGTTAGTAGTAGCTGGAAATAGGGTAAAGTAACAGGAGAATATCATTCATTGGGAATAAAAGATAAGGCTGTGTTTAAATGCTAGGTAGTCAAATATTTTCACAGAATTTCTACTGAAAGATTATTCTTTAGAGTATCAAATATTAGTTTAGAAATATTAATTAAGTAATTCCAAAAATTATTTTGGCTTTTTACTATAGAGCACAAATTATCAGAGCAGATGCATACTATAAAATTGCAAGGTTTTCAACAACTCTAAAACATTTCTCACCTAGCGATTTCATAGGATCTAAGTAAATGCTTAGAAAATTTGTCCTCTAAAACACCACAATAATTTTTGGAGTAGCTTGGCATTCCTAAACAATCAGTAGGTTTGCAAGAGAAATTTTGGGGAAATCAACATTACTTTACTTTAGTAATAAGAACTTGGTGTTTGATCAAGATACCAGATAAGTTTGAGTATTCTCATTAACTGTTTGCTGGATAATGGATGGATGTTGAAGGGAGAAGTGACATGTTAATCACTTCTGGGAGTCAGAGGGTTAATGAACAGCCTGTGAAAGTTACCACTGACTGTTGAACTCAAAGGAACATTTTCACCGACAGTTTTGAAAGACTGTTCCTTGTAATACAATAAATAAAATATATACATTTTTAACCCCGGTGAAAATGTAGTCAAAAACTGTCAATCTCCGTGAGAAAGTTAAGCACTCACCGTTGCTTCAGAGGCAAAAAACCGAGCCTTCACCTACGAAATAAAAGCATTCGTTCGTAAGATTCAGGATTAATTACTAACCAAAGGAAACAAATACGAGCAACTTGTACTCACTAATATCATATTGAACTCAATCTGGATTCATTATTTCCCATATTAATCAAAATACGAAAATAATCAGTTTAAAATCATATTACTGTTTTGATTTTTGATTCTCTCGTTCTATAACTTCTATAACTTTCTGATTTTAACAAATCACAACCGATACGATAGTCCTAACTGTTTGAGAAAGATGTACGATTATGTAAGCTTTTCACTTCTTCGTGATTGAGGATTCTCGTTTCGTAAAAATTAACAAAAACTTAAATTACAGTCTAAACATCAAGGTTGCAAATCTTACATTACGAGAAAGAAGACGAAGTCCAGATCGCTGGATCAACAGTGTCGCTAAACCCATTTTTCGAGCTAAAACATCACAGTCCGTATATCTCAGGAAATCTTTCAAAGTAATTTCTACCAGGCGCACGTGAAAGGAGTTTGCGCATGACCAGATAATGACTACTGCTGTTGACCAGTTTTGTGGAAAAAAAAGGAAGCCGGCTCCAAACACATACCACGTGCCATATCAAAATGTACATTTTAAAATTTTTACTAGAAACTTCAATTTATATTTATTAGCGTTCCCAAGAGTAACCCTCCGTTCATTGGCTTTATGATACGACTTTTAAGATACGACTTTTAAGATACGACTTTACGCGCCGCCATTTTTAAAAACAGCTGAGTAACCAGGCCCAATACCCGCAGAGTGCGCGGTTCAATTTGGTTCTTGTAAAAAACAGAAAACCATAATTTGAATCAAGAATAGTTTTACTTGTGACTCCGTCTCCTACGTGTAAATACAGATCACCAAAAGATAGATCAAAGTGACACTATGATGAACTCGTGGATATACTGCACAGAATACATGGTACCGGATTTAACTAAAAGCCAATGACCCTGAAATTTCAAGAAATATAATTGAACAGTTATTCCCACAAGAGTCGCAACAAATTCATCAGCCATATTCAATTTAATAAATCGACACTCTTGGTCTGTACTCTTATCTACAACGATATTCATCATCACAGTGGTCAAAATCTTGTGGACTTACTTGGCTGCGCCTCGTGAGTTCGCAACAAAGTTTGAGCAAAGTGATAACAAGATCTAACAAATATCGTTGTCGATTAGGACTGACCACGCCAAACCACTTTCGACATATTTGTTACCACAATATTGACGTTGAATAAAACGATTCTTCCAGTGCGTGACTAGAGTTCGTGACTGTGCTCTTATCGACAACGGCATTCCTGCAAGTTGCGGTAAAATTTATTATAGGACCCGTCCGGCCCTGCGTGCGTAATCGTAAGGCCGAAAAACCATGGAGAAAGACGACGTGAAAAAGCGGTCCGGCCCTTGTGTACTTGTAAGACTTGATTGCAAAAAGGGAACGAAACATTGTTCGCTGTTGTTGCGAAAAAATGAGTGGCAACAGTAGACAAAAATGAGTGATAATTTAAGTCACGTCTTCCGATAAATTGTGAGTTTCTTGCTCAACCTGTGTTAAACGGTAACCCCAATTGAGGTCTCTACAAGTAATTCGTCTGGAACTTAACCTAACAAAGCTGGACAACTTAAACGAGGATGACTCATTTTTATAATGACTGATACAGTGTAATGGCGGATAGTTAAAACGAAAATTTGTTACTTACTGAAAATAAGAAAAGAAAACTGTCTTTTCTTTGCAGTACTCAGGGGGGCGTAATTTCATCAAAATGAAATCATAATCAGGTGAACGGGAAGATATTTTCCTCTTTGTCCTTACCTCGAGAAGCTTCAACTAAACGTTCCTGTAAGATAGATTCCTTTGACGCATGGTAACCTCACAGAAGATTACCCTTCCAACCCTTCCCCGACCCCAAGTCTTACTTGTTACAACTCTTGAGTAGTCTACACCCACAAACCAAGTACAGTAAACAATGTCGCCAGTAAAAAAAACCTTTATTACAAAATCTTTGCGGTTTTATTTACATTGAGCGTAGCATGTCACTCCAATGATTAAAAGTACTTTGCCTACCTGGTATCTTTGACCCAAATTAAGATTTCACTTGGAACTACTGATTTCATTTAAATATAAAAATCTACTAAAAAGTAATGAAACTATTAAAGTTAATGAAACTAATGAAAAGACAGCTTTAAAGCTGGTCGGTGTCTCCGAATTATAGCTTCAAGACTAGCTGCCATCTCATCATCATAAACTGACAGAGGAAGTTCTAGTGTGGTTAGCTTACAGCTCGGATGCTGTAAAGCTTCACATAGACTGGCAACACCGATATCAGTGATGTCAGTATCCTCCAGATCTAGTGTGGTTAGCTTACAGCTCGGATGCTGCAAAGCTTCACATAGACTGGCAACACCGATATTAGTGATCTCACAATGTTGCATACGTAGAGTGGTTAGCGTACAGTTTAGATGCTGTAAAGCTTTACATAGACAGGCAACACTGGTATCAGTGATCAAATTACAGAGCATACTTAATGCGGTTAGCTTGCAGCTTGAATGCTGTAAAGCTTCACATAAACTGGGAACACAGGTATCACTGATCCCTCTAAACGAAATACATAGAGTGGTTAGCTTACAGTTTGGATGCTGTAAAGCTTCAGAGAGACTGGCAATACCGGTATCAGTGATGTTATTACCCTCAAGATATAGTGTGGTTAGCTTACAGCTTGGATGCTGTAAAGTTCCACATAGACTGACAACACCGGTGTCAGTGATCTCACTAAACCCCAGGTTTAGTGTGGTGAGCTTAAAGCTTGGATGCTGTAAAGCTTCACCTATACTGGCAACACCGGTATCATTGATCCCACTAGAAATCAGATTTAGCGTAGTTAGCTCACAGCTTGGATGCTGTAAAGCTTCACATAGCCTGGCAACACCGGTATCGGTGATCTTAATATCATTCAGACTTAGTGTGGTTAACTTCCTTACCAATAATCGATTAATAAAATCAACATGTTCAACACTCCAGTTAATGTAAGATAATATAAGTTCAGACACAAGACAGTGTTCATTCTTCAGTGAATTAAAGACTCGTTGTATTCCAGACAGTGTTAGACGTGGTCCGAAAAGTCCTAACCTCTCAACTGTGACAAACTTATCGGTATACTTGTGTTGTGCCTCTCCAGCTTCCTCTTCATTTAGTTCACTGATAATGTCCAATACAAATGATACCGTAATGCAGTCTACATCTGAGTAACAAGCTAAATCCATGACACCGTGCGAATTACAAAACGCTCGGGGATTCTCCCTCAAGAACTGTTTAGCGAATTCTTTGTTTCGATACTCATTAAGACACCTCATTCTAAGATAAGGAGGCATAAAGGGTGAATCTATCAATTTTTCCATCATTTCCTCGTTTGCGTCACGTGAGAAAAGGCCAGCCATGAATTGGTAAACCATTTCAGAGCATTTCGCATCGGGAACACGATTTTCCCTTACAAACCAACGAGCGGCCAAGAATTCTTGGACGGTCAGATGTGTGAAGCTAAAGTGCTTCGTGGTTGTAATCAATTCGGTTCTGAAAGGCTGACCACAGTAAAGAAGACCGCTACCTTTCGGTTTGTTGACTTCTTCCAGTTCAAAATCGCGCTCCATCTCGCTTTCATCAAAAGTTGGCTTTATTTCAACCAGCAGTT